TTTAGGTGAGACCCTTAAGAATGCAGAAGTAATCAATTAAGCAAATATTTAAGTTTACTCATACAGGACTAAGCACATCTCCTCTAGAAATGTACTAGACACCAAACAGATCTAAAAGCTTGAGTTCAAACAGGAATAACTGCAGCTATATAAGAAAACTTGAACATATGCTGAAGGAAGAAAATTTTCTTGTGGAAGTTCAGCTAAATGTGGAATCAGCTGCAAAAATACGAAGTGATTATTGAAATGATGCAATACCTCCCCCAAAAAATACCACCTTGGGGCCAAGATTAATTCCAAACTGTTTGAATGTACAGACATTTGCCTATGTTTCTTAGGTATATTTCTAAGCAATGGCCTTAAAAACTTCTCCAAACCCAGATTAATCAGGACGTAAAAAATAAGAAGTGACATATGCTTATATTAACTATGTTATAGCCATTGGCAAATTGCATGGTAACTATTTTTTCCGGAGAAGGTCATCCTGTATCATCTGCTTTATAATAGAGAGATGCTTATGTAATGCAATTATCCAAACCACTTGGATGACACCAGCTAAGTCAGGACCAGGATTTCTTATGGGTCAGTTCTGGATTATTTCTGCGCATTATACAACAAGACTGCTTATTGCAAAATGCTTAAATGGTATTGGGAGCAAAGCCCAGCACCCAGTACTCTCTGTCCCACTTAAGCACCCTAACCATGCAGCTACATAGCCACACTTGTTCCTATTTTCTTTCTTTCCCAATGGATTCTGGCATACTTGGCTTCACTGTGAAAACAGGAGCATAGAAAATGGTCCTTCCAACCTAACTGAAAACCCTATGTCTGGAACATTCACGTGGCAGACAGGAGCTGTGGGTTTGAACCCCTGTGGGTTTGGGAGCCTCTACAAACTCTCAAATCAGAGTCTCTGTGCAATGCTTCTATCACCAGACAACTATACAAACAATTAGTAATGTCATCTACTCCTCTGGCTGTATATTAAAGGATGATTTTAAAATGCTACGTGGTCCTTAAATACAGTTATAGGGATCGTGAAAGAAGTTAAGAGCTTCTGTACTTTGGATTTTACACATCCGATAGGTCTGAAACCATCTTCCAAACTTGCTTGCTGGTCTACCAATAAAAAGCTATAACTTCTTTTCACAGGGTCACTGAGTTACAAAAAATGGGTGTCCTTTGTACTTTCTTTTTATAATAACTTGTGAGTGACAATCTCAAACACTCTGTAAACATTAATCCCTGAGCATCCAGGGGAACTAGCATACATTTTTCCCAATTCACAACAAACAAACAAGGAAATGCTCAAATGTAGTGCCTAGGAAGCAAAATGCATGGGTTGCTCTAGTGCATATTATGCCTTGGGGATACCACGGACCTAAAGTATGCATATATTTTTATCCTTTGTGAATTATTTTAGACTTCATCCATTCTAATTAGGTTCTCAGATAAGACTGTATAGTGAGTTTCTGTCTATTTTTCCAGTTTCTGAATTCACCCTTTGGCTCAGTGACTGGCTTCCATCTTATGTCTCTGGAGAGTATAACACATTGCCTGAATAACTATGCTGGTATATGTCCAAGGCACTTATTTGCTTCCATTAAACCATGTTGAGATTTAAAATTATCACAAGAGAAGGGAAAACTACTGTGATCCAGGTTTTCATCTCAGCTACTTTGGTATAAATTAAATGATTAAAATTCTAATGGAATTCTCTTTTCCTTGAGATTTTTGTAAACTGTTAACTATTTCAACAGTAAACAGTTAAAAGCTGAGATAATTCAGGTTCTGTCATATTTCTTCCTTTTGCCAAAATAGACTTAATTGAGAAAAGATGGAAAAAAATATTAAGGGAAAGTACTGGCCTGAAAATCTGTCCTTGTCAAAAATAACTAAAAGGTAGTCTTACAGAGGCAGACTTGCAAGATTTGTAATTATGGAGTGGTTGAAGAGTTATTCAAACTGTCATGGAAGCTGAAGGATGATTATTTAGACTTAGAGTTGACAGATAATTAAGTAACAGTAACAAAACCGCACTGACTGAAAGTAAAACAGCTAAATTAGTTTGAAGGACTTTTACTGTACTAATGACATAAGATACTTGAGGTCCCAGCCGGTGCCATGTATTCCACAAAATCCGAGTGCTTTCTTCCAGGTGTTGTCCATTGCATTCATTCATCTTAACCTTTGTTTAATATCCTGTCCATATTTTCATTGTCTAACTCAAACACTACTAGGAAAAGGTAGTAATTTTGAATTCTGCTAATTCTACGCTCACTATTATCACTATTGTGTTCATGTCAGGGAATGCAAGATCAGGATATTTAAATATTTAAACACAAAAATGTGTGTGGAGTAAGCCTGTAAAGTTGTCACTGATAGAACTGTTCAGACAAATAACCTTTTCCGTCAATAGAGTGATCCTAAACCTTACAGACATTTGGCAAATACTGTTTAGCCTTCCGCTGTAGATATTTTCTTGTGAAACTTCTGAACTTTTTTAGTTGTTTCCCCTGTTCATACCCTGCATACCTTGAATATTCCTATAGAAATCCCTATGCCTTAGGATTTAGCCAGTGGCTTCTCTGAAATGGCTCCTGTAGGTGTTCCTATCTCCCCTCACTTCTTGTTGAACTGTTGGTAAGTGAGAGAGTGTCTTCTGAGGATCCTTGGGACCATTGACCTATGTGTGAGTTTTGGGTCCATAAAGCAAAGGGAAGTGTTTACTTCCCAAGACGTAAAGGCCTCACCAGGAGGCTCTTCTCCTACCAGACAGATTTTGTTTCATACAGGAGTGAAGGGAACAAAGAAGCTCACTCGTATCAGTAAATCCTCCAGAAGACCTATTGCAAATGATAGTAACCTCAATACTGAAGTTGTAATATTGATGTAACTACAGTAGTCTTAGGATACATAGATCTCAAAGAGGATCAGAGCACAGGAAGAGGTGTTGTCCTTTAGTAACTAGCTTGTAGACCTGGAAGATGGACAGCTTTTTGGATTGTATCTGCTGTCATTTCTTATCACACCTGATGAGATGGACTCTGAACATGAATGCAATGGACAACTGTTTGGGGCTTAGCATTACAAGAGTGCAACAAGATGGCTAAATCTTCACAAAGTGAACCTGATTCATGTTCAGAGTCATCTGTAGATCAGATTTAATTACTAATTATATTGCTTCATAATCAACTAATTAACCTGTTTCAGTACATTTGAGAAACTTGTCCCTTTTCTAGTAACACAAGGATTTTACTAGAAACCGTTATTAAACAAATGATCAACACTAGGGAGAGGATCTCGACTGTTGTGTTTTTCACAGTTCGTGTGCTTTAGCAGTGTGATTTACTGAGGTTACATTGCAAAATTTATTTATGATTTTTATCACTATATTTATTTGAAGTTCTATATGTTGTCCTAACTTCACTAGATAAGTAGTCTGCCATAAGATGTTCGCACGCTTTAAAGTTGGCATAATTTATTAAATGCTTTTTGATACAAGGCTTTTTAGGATATGTAGTGGATATGTGCCTAGTACATTGCATTTACAAGCGCAAACATATGGTATTAATAAAGAGTGATGGCTCTGACAATTTCCTTTTCTAAATAATTAAACTTTTTTTGACTAAGGGCTGAAGATGCCAAGGTAGCCACTCTGTAATCTAACAAACATTTGCACAGATGTACTTGAACACATGGCCATCAACACATGTCTGTAAACTTACATAAGTATAATGTGAATCACTCTTGGAACTATCCCACAAAAGCCTGATGCAAAGTCTATTTAAATCTATAGAAAGATTCCCACTGATTTTTCTTATGTTGTAGATGAGGTCCAAGAGGGATAATTACAGATGTTTCTTTGCACAATGCAGGTTATCAACTTCTTTAAGAACTGGTGAAATGCTCTCATGGCAAAACTTCCATTGACTCTACTGAGATCAGGACTTTCCCTATGTATGTTTAAACAATCAGCTTTATGTGCTTTTCAGTGAGCAAGAAGCAATGCCGATAAATCTGGAAATTCCATCATGAATAATTGATCTTCAGCTGCATAAAGTATCTCTGCCAGTGCACTACAACTGATATTCTTACACGATATTGAGATATTTTAGGCAATGTACACTCATTCTTCATTCAGACATCTATTTTATCCTCAGTCCCTGCTGGGATTCACAGGCCAAGCGCTCCTTTGCCTTTTCACATGCAAGCTAATGAATGTCAGTGCTGGTGCCATTAAAAATTGCATGATCGTTAGCATGCTTGCTTAAAGAAGTAGAAATCTTGGTTCAAATCCTTCCTCTGCCCCGTGTGGCCTGAACTTGCATCTCCCATGTCCTAGGAAGCTGCCTGGCCTCCTATGAATGGGGATGATATATGATTAAAGCTGTCCTAATTTCTATCAGATGTTTAAGTATTCACTTGAAGGACTTATGGGAATGTAGGTCTTCCTTCTTACAGCTGAGTGCCCCAGAAGCACAAAACTGGAGATTTATTTCAACATTGGGTAATCTGCTCTCTATTTGCTTTCTTTCTCCCCACCCCAAAATAATTATTAGCTATTCCAGGGAGATCTCAGAAGGAGAGGGTTTTGAGACTTTTCTCACTCTGGCTTAGCAGTTTGAGCACTCCTCCAGGAGACATGGTTTAAGCGCTCTTGACAAAGGAGAGCTGCAGAATAAGCAGCTACTGTCACTGCCACATTGAACAAATTCATGTCCCAGCAATGAATGATCTTTGGCTGAAATCAAACTGTCGCTGAGGTCAATAAGAAATGAGAAGAAGTCATGTTTTCCTTCATAAAGAAAACAGGCACACAAATCGAAAAGGAGGAACTTCAAGCTAATACTGTTTCATTTTCTAACTATTCTGTTCCTGCTTACTAATTCAGTCTTTTTTGTTATTTTTTAGGACAAGGCCTTAAGGGTTTTCTTTTCCATAAATTTTATCAGCTGGTTCCTTTTTAAAAAATATATATTTTTTTTCCTTTCCTGCAGGTCCTGTTGCCACCATATGATGAACCTGTGAACGGAGCTGCTAAAGATCCACCACCACCTTATGTGTCAGCATAAGTGAGAGTGCTGTGTACCTGGGGAGGATAGCTTTACTCTTCAGGCACTGGAGCAATAGTTTGATAATTTCACTTCCAGGATATAACCTCTATGGGTTACACATTGCTGTTTTGCTGACATATTGAAACCTAAATTGTATGATTAAAATTGTGTAGATAGTTTTAATAATTTGCTGCAACTACAGTAGTGTTTCAGAAACTAGTGAACTAGTTTCAGAACAATTCTGGGTAGCGCTAAGGTTACGGTAGTCACTGAATAGCTTTTTCCACCACGTCTGACATGCAGTGCTAAAGAACATAGAACTTTGCATTCGCAATCAGGTTCAGAGTGTAACTTTCTTCTTTTCATTTGTAAAACTTCCAAAGCACTACAAATGTGTTTCTCAGATGCCCACTTTCACCTTCAGATTGCAGACCAAGTCCAAAAAAGTAACATTCCACTTCATTCCTGTTCTGCAAGAATTTATTAAGTTGTTATGCTATGAAGGATGATGATTGAAAGAAGAAGAATGAATCTTATGCGCTATTCTCATCAACCTGGCTTATGGGAAAAAACTTTAATTGGGAAGAATAAGCATGGGAAATGAGAGTAGACAAAGCACTCTGTGATGCGTAACAAGCCAGAACCTGTGGTCTACATGAACTCACTTTGTCCCAGCCTGCAACCATTCTAACACTCAAAAAAAAAAGAGTACTTACCAACTTCTGGTAATTTTCTTTTCCTGCCTACACAACTTTTTCTCTGCAACAACTTCACAAGTGGTATTTTGAGGTCACAAAATCCTTGCTTTTAAAGTCCCATGGTTAGGTGACAAAGCTGTCTCTTTTGCACTCAATATGCAAATGTTTTCCCATTGGAATGTGCCTGTAAATATCGCAATATTCTGCTGAGTGTGAACTAAATTATGCAGATTCTAAGATATATGTTCCCAACCTATGGGAAACTTATGCATGTAACTTCCTCAAGCATTAGCAGATACGTTTTCGTGTTTCTCATATACATCAACCTGGAGATTTTAGATTCCTTTTATGACTGAACTGGTTGTGCTGAGAATCTTTCTCATGGGACTCATCCATCCATAAATGCTTGTGTGAGGTATTTATGTCTTCCCTGGAGAAGTGCCTCCTACACATGTAACTTTCTGTTGGTGGTGAAGGTTCTACTTTTAATTGAAAAGGAACAGGAAAAGGGAATATAATGTTTGTCTCTACCTCTCATCATTTCCCCCTGTGTTGTCTCCTCTGCATTTGGGGTGATTGAACAGGCTGAAGCTGGACTGATATTGCACACTGCCCCAGGTAAAGGGCAGTGCAGGGCTGAGCCACAGTTTGGAGGAGCACCAGAAGAAACCAAGGTGCCGTCCCCTCTGTGACTGGGCTGGCATGTGAGTCCACAACCTTCCTAAGGAGGACACCCGTTCTCACCCTCAGTGCATTGACTCCATTCTGCAAACTGAAGAAGAGTGAAGGTTTTCCTGCCTTTTTCTGGAAAAGAGCTTTCCAGGGGAACACAGGACCAACAATTTCTTTTCACGGAGGTTGCCACTTCCTTGCAGAGGCCAGGAAAGGAAGGGCCAGACTCTTTCTGCCTGTCTCTTCCACACCCCTGGGAAAAGGCAGGTCCCTATCTGCTTGTTGGAATTTTACTTCAGGGTTCATTTACTCTGAGATCAAACTAAACAATGCTTTTGACTGAACCAGTCTTGAAGACCGTCCATTGATCTCTGTCACAGTCCTATTGCTGCCTTCAGAATAACTCCATGTATTATTATCTCATCACAGTTATCTTTGGGAATTAATCTGAATTTGGGGGTTGGGCTGGCTGGCTGGGCTTCTGAGCTTCATTTTCTTTCATTCTTGACAGATTTGTGAAGGATTTTAAACAGTCATCTGTTTGAGAAAAGCTGGTTGTAAATACATGGCATCTGTGTATACAAACGTCTCTAAAATAAAAGGGTGGTTCCTCAAGACTATGGAAATCATTTTTGCTGGTCTTCCAAGCACAAACATACACAAATTCCTTTCCGATCAAGCTGACATAGCAGGATTTTCTCTGTAAATTACCTAAACAACAGTTTTTCAGTTCACTCACCAGTCCATTCGCCAGCTTTCCATCCATACTGTACAAATGGACAATAGAACAGTAAGTTCTATAATTTATTGTACAATAAAAACAAGAGATAATTCAAGCTTTTAGTTCATTGTCCAGAACCGCAGGCAGTTTTCCAGGGCTGATGAAGTGTGTAATACAGAACAGGGCTATACTGAGCTATACCAAAAGCTGGGGCTTCTTTTTCTCCACATCGTTATAGGGATAATGTTGTGCTAATTCACATGAAATTTCTGTAGACTTTAGCTTGTCTGACTAAAGAATCAAGACTTCTTCACACACACCATACGTGCATAAGTGTGAAGGCATGTCTCCTGCCAGTACTCCTAATACTTTTTTGGATTTTGTCCAGTTTGAGTTAAAGAGGGCAGGGAGGTTATGGGATCAAAACCATGGTATTCCTGCACAGAGTGTAGACAGACAGCTGGGTAGGAGGGAGCAGATAATGTAATATAAGTTCAACTCTGCTGATGTGTCAGAGGATCCATGTGGGAGATGAGTTCCCCTGCTCCCAAAGAAAAAGAAGATTCTCTGGGTTACTTAAAGAGACACAAACTCCAGCTGAAGGGGTTTTATCCTCAGTTGTTGAATTCATTCTCCATTTCCATGTCTAATCGTGGGGAATTCACTCCCCAGCTTTTCTGTAATTCATTTTTAATAGTCAGTCATCTGTGACACAGAAACCTATTAAAAACCTGGCTTCTTAAGTTTCTGTGCTTTGGGAACTGCCTGCTCCAAACAGTGCTTTTTTCACTATTCCTTGCATTTTTTTCCTTTCTCCCAGATATTAGGAGCATGTGCTTATTCAAATTGTCTCCTGTTTTCTTATCTTAAACTCTAATATAACAGTTGATTATTAATAATTTCTAGTAACTTGAGTGGAAAGAAAATATTTTCAAGCTATGTTGACATATAACGTCATAAATATGGAGCTAAAACCAGCAAGCAGGAATCTAAACCTTGATAGTACCAGAAATTTAAGTAGATCTTTTGCTGAAATCTTCTAATTTTTTTAAATATCTGTTATAAGGCATTGCAGGCTTCACAAAGCCTACACATGCTAAGGCACAAATCCCATTTCTCTCATCTGTGCCTGATGCTCTTATTCCTGATGGAACAATGCATCTTCCCTTCATTGCACACTCATCCCTGCATTGTATTGGAGAAAGCAAAGAGGAATTCATAGTGGTGACCCAACAGTGTGGCACTCGTACTTGTAAATACATTAAATTTTCTAAAACAATTATTAACAAACATTATTTTAGGTGTTAGCCCGTCTGTACTTCTTTGTGAAACCTCTGGTAGGTAAAAACAGTCCAGACTTGATATGTCACCAAAAGCCATATCAGATCAATTTATGGCCAGAGAAAAGCTTGGCAAGGAAGCAGAGGGAATGATAACTAGTCTGAAACAAATTCCCAGTTCTGTGCTTTCAAAATAGTTCATTCCTCACCACTTCCCTGTGGGCCAAAGTATATCAACTAGGGGTACCGTGGACAGTTTTAACAAATTTTTGCTAATATCAACAAGGCTGCACACTGATGCTTGGAATATGCAAGATGGAGACAGTTACTGGTAAGGGCAGAATGGAGAGAAGAGCAGCAACAGGTACAGACCGTGGGAGGGAAACCTTCATGTATGTCCTTTAAACAGCACGGAGAGCCAGATGTCATTGCACTGACAGGGTTCACTGCTTCAAACCTGGTTGGCTTATGTGCTCTCTTTCTCCTGTGCTATGGTCAGGAGGAAATATAATTCCTTCTGTAACCTGTTAGCTCTGTTTCAGACTTTTATCACTGGAGTGGATGATACCTCGGTGTTACTTGTTGCAAGGCAAAAACTTCTACAGATTTATTTTTCTAAACCTAAAGGACTACTGGTTAAATTCCTGTCAAACTGTCTAATTTGACAGAATATTCCAAGCTGCTTCTCTGGAGCTAAGTTATATCCTTAGAGGTGTCTCTTCTTAGAGACTACTCTCCTTAGAAGCTCTCTCCTTGGAGGATGCTCTCCTTAGAGGCTGCTTCTCTGGAGCTAAGTAATATCTTTCCCATTTACATGTCTCTATTAGCTGCAGAAATTACACTCAGGTACCATGAAAAAGCATTTCTTGGAAAATTTCAGTGCCTATGGCTACAGAGATATTCCAGCACCATCTCCATTCACAGCTCTGAGAAGCCCAAAACAGCAGCCATAGCTATCTAAAGGGAGGCTTGGCTCTGATAAATCAGGATTAGAGTTCTTTCAGGGAAGGACTCTGGTATTTGCAACTGATGTCTCCACACCCATGGATTTGACCCAAAATGGTTCTGCAACGTGGCCAGTTTTGCAGCTGAATAGCTCAGCAGGGTGTGGAAGCCAGATCTGTGACCTTCCGCCTGCAGCTTGTGTCTACCTCCAGAAGAAAAGGATACCGAAGCAACAGGAGTGAAAACCTCATTGTCGCTCAGCACACAGATATAAAGTTTTTTCAAAGCAAAAAGGCAGTTCTACAACTATATCCTATGCAATGAGCTAGAACAGTAATTTATTTTAACGAAGAACTTATGTGAAATTTAATGCAGTACCTTACTTTTTTTTTTTCTTTCAGATTATTCAAACCTTTCAAACAGGAGGGTTTTCAGAAAGTCATGAAAGGTTTGTCCTTTGTAGCCAGATCTGGACTTAACTAGTTGGTGTGAGCGGAGAGCACAGGGTCACTCGGAATGCTGAACAAACAGCAAGGAGATGCAGCAGGGCTGGCCACGTGGCTTGCAGGAGAAGCATGTTAGCCAGCAGAGACAGAGGAACTGTGAAGCTACTCTGAGAGAGGGAGCTGCAGCATGGCAGAATCTCTGCAGCCATTTCAGAGGACTTTTGCTTGCTCTTTGAGGTCAACATGACCGGTGACG